TCATAAAACACGTAAGCATTTTTTGTCGCGCTACCACTTTGATATCTTTAATGCGAGAGACGCGATCTCCGGCCTTAATCTATCGCGGATTCTTCTGGCTGTTATCTCTCGTATTCGTTACGTGCATTGGTGTGTTTGGCTCACTCGGAGGCCTTCTAAGGCTGTTACCCCGCGTATTTACTATGTGCACTTCGTATAACCGCGCGAAAACGGAGTCTAAAATGAAGAGATGTCTATCTATCCCTCTCCCGCTCCCCCTATCTCCGCCCTCCCTTCGCCTCTCTTTCTCTCCTTCTCGCGACGTGTTATTCTCTGTGCATGTTCTCCGCGGTGTAACGTGCGCACGATCGTCCCAGGCCGGGTCGCGTGTGAGTGTATAATGTAGGTTGCTGGCACCTTGATGAAGGGTTCGCGTGACGAGTACCCTCTATCCGCCGGTATCCTGTCTCTCTCCTGACCTGCTCGTCCGCACCTCCTATTCCGTGCGGTTCACAGTCCACGGTTACCCACTTAAACGCTGAAAAAAAGAAAAAAAAAACGCACACGGCCGCAACGACATCGACGCGATACAGTTCGTCCCGAGCGCGGCGACCATTTTCCTTTCCATCGCGTCTTCACAAACGCGTGCACTCGTCGTAAATTGCAACGTGGGTACTGACAAATTAACGTCTGCTAATTAAAATCGGCATTGTTTCTTTATTAAAATACTGGGAGGGGCGAGATCCAACGCTTGAAGAAGCCAAGAGCTGTCGCATTTGTATCTTAATAATAACAATTATAAGATTATTTGTCTCCAATTAATAATCTCATTTAATTATCCTTTCTCTCTCTCTCTCTCTCTTCCATCTTTCGTTCGAAATAAACGGGCTACCGTGCCACCGGCATTATTTTCTCTCCGTTGTCAAAGTTTCTTTAATCACTTCCGACAATATTTACCGGTTAATCGAATTTTAACGCATTAGTTTTCTTGTCTTTTGGGCAAGAAAATTTTACGACCTAAAGGAAACAATGAGAAAGGAAAACAGCGGGGAGGTGGCAGCTCGTAAAAAGTGGCGAGTGCCAACGTGGGAAAAAGAGACCCCCGAAATACTTGAGGAGGCACCGGAGGAGCTCACGGTCCCGGCGCCCCGTGGTGCCAGACAATTCCACCTGATTGGTCCGAATTCGTATTGTCACTCGCTAGACTGACGTTCAGCTCGCTCAGCTGGGATTTCGTGCCAAGTTGTTCGTGCTAACGACGCTATTCGTGCATCGCCGCGCTCTTGATATATCGATCGTCGTCGCTCGGTTGAGGACGACACGGAGAACAGCGACACGCCCTGGGATTACTCCGAAATTTTTAAATACGCTCAAGCATTGTGTCGCGCTGAGAATCTTCGTGGTCGCTTCTTTGTTCGAATACCCGGTATTCGAGAACCGTTTAAATTTCTGGTGAGCGAGATCTCGGGAAAATTTGCTTCAAATTAATTAGCGTGTAAAATGCTCGCTTAAATTAATTCATTGAAACCGACTTCTTTCGATCGCTTGGACATTTTTGTTGAAATTCTCGTCCGCGTATCGTTGAATATTGTTTTTATCAATTTCACTTAATATATGTTTTCACATCCTTATCGCAGTCTTTAAATACACACGGCCTTTAAATTGGTTGTAATGAACGTTGCGAATGGATTCTAATCGCGGTATCGCTTTCCACTTTCCGCCGAAGCCCGGGCGATAAGGCGGGCAGGCGTGTTCTCGCGCGACGACGTCTCAAGGTTGCACGGATTGCGGCGGGTTATTCTCAGGCGATCATCGCTCTTCTCCACCCGAGGCTCTCGCGGCGTTTTGTAATTACGCCGCCGTCCGTCTTATCCAAAATCATTCTGTATGTACGCGGCTTATCCAATTATCATCTGCTTTCCGCGCGCGCTCGCTCGCGTAAACACACATACGAACGTCTTCGCGGGCGTTATAATGTAAGCCGGCTCGATCGCGATTTCTGAAGTCTGCCTGCTGGAAGGTGGCCCCCAACACGTTACGTTCGAAGATAATTACTCGGCTCCCCGAGAGCCACTAAGTATTTCGTAATTAGAGGCCTGCCGGCTTATCCGAAATCGCACTCTCGATTACAAGCTCACGCAGCTTATCGATTATCATCTCGATCTCCTGCATCGCGCGCGCGCGCGCCCGGGAAGGCGCATACTTTTACCTTCCACTTCGTTCAGATTTCAACCGCTTCTCGCGTGGCTGAATTTTTTTACCGCAAACACCGAGACAAGAAGAAGCACCGCCGATCAATCATAATTCTCAGGTGTCATTCGAAAATTATCCATTACTTCTCAAGGACGTCGACGTTCAGACATCCGAGAGAGAGGATCAAAGGAAATTTACCACACAGAATATTGAAGGTATAAAATATCGATATCCGCGCGCGCGCGAGTACCAAGCAACGATCGCCGAGATCGCAATCGAGAAGCAATGACGAGTCAGCGCGCGATTTATCCACCGCAGCTTTCTCCTCGTTCAGTGGATAGTGTGGCAACATAATAATACTACGTGTCGTATGTCACACATTGTTGCGCATACACGGCGGAATCGTGGGCGTTAATGGTCAAGTTGCGCGGCTTATCCGGAGTGCGCATCTAATATCCGCGCGAGCTGAACAAACACACACGGCGCATACCCGACATTGATCACACCTTGGTAACACCTCAAGGTTGCGCTTTAGTAACAACTACATCACCAAACAGCCCGAGGAATATCTTGGCGAACCACCAGAGCGCCCCGAGGACGAGCGAGAAGATACACATTCGGAATGCGAAGCGAGTCGCATGACGCTTTTATACGGAGCGCGATGGCGAATTTATCAAAACGGCAATCTGAACGGTCGCTCGGGGCCGTGAACTTCAGGCTTCTAATTTCATAATTTGTTGCCCGACTAACGATGTAGGTAAATGAGCGCGAGACGAAGAGGCGAAACGAATCCAGTGGGAGACTCGTCTCTTCTCACCGGAGGTCCCTTTTCTCTTGAATGCGGGATTTTGGGAAATTCCGATTTAGAATATTGTAAGTAAATTATAAGCCGACGCGGAGTCGACGCGCCGGATTACCCGCTCGAATCGGAGGCACCTGTTTGCGCAATCCACGAAGCGCGCTTCATAATTGCGCACGGCGGCGGCGGCTTATCCGCAATCACATTCGCTGTTACAACCGCGTGGCTTATCGGATTATCATCTACTTTCTGCACTGCATAAATACACTGACGCCGCTCGCGTCGCAAAACGCTAGCGCAGTGTCCAGCGGAGCGAGTGATTAATACGCCCTTGATTGTAAGTAAGGCACGTAGCTTAAGTGAATTAAATGAGATGCGCTGCAAAAATTAAATTACAGAGAAGTTGTAATTGGAGCAGAATTTTATCCACAATCTTCTCCTTTCAAATCCAGATAGCTTTGGAGTTATGGGTGAGATATTAATTATCGTCGTTGAAAGAGTGAAAATGGAATACTCGCAAAGTGTTAGAAAAATAATTGAGTAATAAGTTGGCGAGAAAGATTAACGATAATTTCACTGGACAAACATAAATTTCTATTTCTATGTTAGAAAGCGAAAAAGAAAGCATATTACTGTTATTGCCGTATATTTCTTGTAAAAAAAAAAAAATTAGCAACACAAAATATAAAAAATTTGTCTCCGCAGAAGGAATTCTATTAATTTGACATTTTAGATGTTTAATTAACAAACCACTTCTGCAAATGTACAATTTCTTATTAAATAAAATAAAATTTAAAAAATTAAATATATAAAATTAAATTTAAAAAATTAAATAAAAAATATTCTTTTTTTGACCATTCAACTAATATTTATTACAACTTTAAATCTTCGTGATCATCGTAGAATTCTGATAAATTAAAGCGCGCGTCTGAATCACCTTGCATCTTAGCGAGTGAAAGATACTTCTCGATCTATGCGCGGTATTTCGCAATTAGCCTGAACGCAACGTTTATCTCAGCATCTCCGAGAGAGTTTCCATAGACGCAGTCTACAAACGCGAGCTACGATAATGCAACGCGACGGTCATCACGGCAGCGATTCAAAGTTGTATACACGCTTGGGGATAACCGGCGATAGTTACCAAGTGACCCCAAGCTTCCCTTGTGTGCACGAATATTTCATAATTCCGACGTGGTCACGCATCCCGGCCGCAGCTGCGAGGCCGAACTTTATTAGCATACCTATAAAAATGCGCGCGTTCGCGCGTAAACGGGTGCGATAAATTACGTCTAGAACTCCCTTAAATATCTCATAAAATGTCAGTCAATGAAATCCATTAGTTCAGGTCGGTACGCCGAGACCGCTACCAATGTTGGCGCAGGAGCTACTTGCCCGCGGCTTTTCCCGTTATTTGCTCGCGAATTAAAAACGCTCGTCTCGCTGTCGCGGTCTTTAAATACGGCCGATTAATAAGCGCGTGAATATGACTGCTCGTGTTAGAATATTGAAAAGATAATTGTGCCGAGCGCCGCTGCTCGGCGAAGTCGAAAGAGCGAGACCTAAAGGATATCTCTGTCGTGTCTGCGCCGCAGCTGCGATCGACGCATGCTCTCTAAGATCGATCGTAATAATTTGAAAAGAGGAACCGCGTGAACGTGTTATTTATTTTCAGACGCCGTCAAGGGAATTTAAGCACTTGCATAGATAAAAATCAAGATTTGTCTACAGTGAAATAAAACATATGTGCCGAGCAGTCTTCCAAATTTGTTTTTTTTTAAATTTTGGAACATTATTATAGTTCATGTTTTAAATTTTCTGTGTAAAGTATTTTAATTAAAAAAAAAAAAATTAAATTTGGAAAAAAAATTCTCTGAGAAACATTAAACAATGTTAAATATTTGTCGTTCGGCAAGACCGCTTCGTCCAATTCGCCTCGTACAACTTAGCGCCGCGTTCTTACGGCGTTCCGCTCACTGAAACCTTTCCTTAGTGCTCTCACATTCTCTTCTGATCGATACGCGTCACTTACCTGCCGGTCTTCGTAATGATCATCTCCGTGCCAAGGTCGTTGAACTTGTCCCAGAGCTCCTTGGTCTCGAGGTGGCACTCGACATCGCGCAGCTCGTCCGAGTTACAGCTGGTTCTCAGGCGTTGTTGCTTCCTCTCGTCCGTATTGCAGCCATCCGCGTTGCACTTCCGCGCGGGCGTGCCGCCACTCGTGAGATCCTCGGCTAACATCCCGTGGACCGGACCATCGTCGACGCTACTGCACTCCTCCACGTCGACGTCCACCTCCTCGTCCTCTTCGTTCGCGGACTTTTCAGTGCCCTCGCTTTCACCCTCGCAGTTTTCCGCTATCTCGTCGCCTAAGAGAGCCTCCTCCGTCACCACCGTTGCCGTCGCGACGATGTTCACCGGCGATGACGTTCGAACACCTGCAATAATGCATTCTTTACATACCAGATCTGGCGTGAAACCACTTTTACAGGCTTATATATCCTTTCAGAGTGATGCGTTCGCTAAAAGAAGTTTCGGCCGCACGCAACGCTGATTATTGCTACATAAGCATCGGCCATACACAATGCTAATCGCATTCAAAACTAATAAAAAATATATAATCAATAAGAAATCTATTATTAGCATTAATTCAGTTAAGTTATTGTAACTATTGGTATTTATTTTCCTTGTAAGTTGTTTGTAATTCACACTGATGTTTTAGAGTGCATTAAATAATAAATAATCGTTGGGATAATAATAAATTTAATATATGCCAAACAAAATGCTACGTACTAGATATGATTAGCATGACTTATCGCACACAAACGAATGTTAATAGCCTCGAGCGGTCGTAGGTATCCTTATTATTTTTTTTTTCTAATATATTTAAAACAAACACGGTAATGTTCAAGCTTGTAAGAAAATTAATGATGGGATGATGATTCTTGAGAATCACGATGAGAATCTATATGCTTATATACATATTTGCAATAAAAATACAATATATTGCAATATGTTATTCAAGGAAAACCGAGGGTTTTGTCAAAGTTTCACTTCGTGTATTTCGTGGATCACTTTAATCAGTCTCGCACTCCTCACAATGCATTGGAAACTCGGTCTCGTCTCGAATACAACACTTACTCGTAATAAAACTCGTAAATTTTACGTATTTACTTGTTTTCGTCTTCTGCGTCTCGTTCGTTTGTTTGTCGCGTAAATAAAGACGAAGTATCGTCTTTGCGAACACATCGTATATAAACAAATATAGATCGTGCCGTAGCGACAATCAAGATCATCGATGCATAATATAGCTGTTTAGATAGAAGTAACGAGGTTCGTAATTTGGGAATAAATCTTTTTAAGTTCGAGCTAATTAAGTTTTATTAGATTTATTCGATTCGGAGAGATTAGTTGCCGAAATCTCCGGCGTGCAAGCGCGCGATAATCGCGAATCGGTTTAAATGAGCAAGATGAGCCCGAACGATACTGGAGGCCGGCTGTTAATTAATCGGCCGAGCCCCGCATCTGCCACAAGGTGGTGGTCGGTGCCTAATTAAACCGTCAGATTTTCAAGAAAGTCGATCCGCCGCCATTGCCGGTGTGTACACAATGTTAATTGCGCCCGGCTCGCGATATCGATCTGTTAATTTGTACTATTCCGCGCGAACAATGCGTCTTCCGGCGCGCGTTTATCTCAAATTGGATCCGTGGTGTTGCATCGCGCGAGTACACGCTCACGCACGTGGACGCCGGGAAAATTTATCGACGACTTGTCGTCGATGAGAAACGGCGGGCACCGTCGGCTCTCCTTCCGAGCCAACTGTCTGTCCACGCGGAAAAAACTATTATCGTATTCTTACTTCTTCACTTAATGCCGCGGTTACCGCTAGATACGGCTGTCTGATACCGGAATTTAGTATGAAAATCGTGTGATTGATAATCAGGCATCGCTACGTTTACATAGTGCTTGAGATCGTAAGCTTAAAAGTTATTCGTCTAGCATCAAGATAGTATTCAATGTTAATGTGTGTTCGCGAGAAGCATGAGACCATCCTGGCGACAAACACAGAGAATCAACATTTAAATGCCTTGTTTTGATTTAGTAAAGAATAATTTATTCAGAATAATCACGAACGGATTCTAGCCGGAGAAGGTACGTGAAAGGTGCAATGCGCGCGGCTCGCTGAACTAGAAAATGCCTCGAACGCACGACCGCTGCAAGAGAAGACACTAATTCGATGTAAAACGCTTCCCGTTTTCTTTCTGGCTTCTGGTCACCACGCCGATTTCTCGAATGCTACGCGTGCTCAAACCGGTTTCGTAAAATTTTCGACGATGATGACGACGATTACTTTCGCCGTTTCGTACGTCACGTTACGCGCTTAGCAATTTGCATTTTGTCTCAACGAAACGAGAAGTCTTACGAGATTTTACGAGCGACTACCGGATTTCTTAATCTTCTCGAACCTGCTTTTTCTTCGCTACTTGAAATTCGTAGAAATTTATGTTTTTGATAAAAATAAATTTCTTTTACATTACAATATTGTAAGCTTTTGGTATCTTTCACGTTATAAAAAAAACACGTCAGAGAGATCGTTAAAATCAGACTCATGAAAGAAATCAAGGACGGAAGAGCTGGCTGTGATTGTAGAATCAAATAATGCCTCTGAATATTATAGTTAACTGTTCAAATCTTTTTCTTTATTTCCTTTCACTCAACTAAAAGTCCGACAAAAGCTGATCTCGCGAATAGTTCATGTATTCAAGGAATACGAAATATAATAGAAGATCACACTTAGCTCACAGTCGGGCAGTAACCGGCTCCTTTCCTTGCGATTATTTTTATGGTTCCTCTTTCCCAATTTTCCGTGTCTACGTCTCTTTAATCGTTTAGCTAATCCTTCTCACTCTTCCTCTTCTTTCTCTCCTCGTCTTCGCCCCTGTCTTTTCTTTTACAAATGCACTCCTTTCTCTGTCAACTTTCGCAAGACAAAATGCCCCGAGAAACCGTTGTCCAGCTCTTTTGTTGTCCTCTCCTCTCTTCTCTCCAAAGGGCTCTCTCGCCATCCGACCAATCAGCTCTCGCCAGCAATTTTTACAAGGATTAGTGCCCTCTTATACAATAAGCAATACTCGCTATTATCAATATCGACCGAGACCTATTTATCTCGTGAGTTTATTATAATATTATCTCGTGAGTTTCTTACAATATTTTAATTCTGAAATTTTAGACTTTTTTAAAGTCTGATTTGCGGGACATCGAAAAATGTACAAAGTATGGCAATTTTTAAAGAAAATATACATAATCGTAAAAAAAAGAGATGTAAAAAATATTTTTGCTTCTTCTGACATCATATGCCAATTATAATATTCATTTTAAACATAAAAGATTGCGGTAAAATAAACAGAATCCTAACTCGGGAGCTCGAAGAATATAGATTGTACGCGATCACGCGAGATACGAATCGATACAATTTTCATGAATTTTGCGCGAACGCGACGCAGACTGCTGGTAGCGCCAAAAGGCACAGTGTGCGTCTTAAACGCGGACCGTAGTTACGCGGCATCGCGTGCTACTCGCGCGTTGCGTGCGAACACATCTGCGTGCACGCATCCACGCATACACACGGCCGGCTAATAATAATGCGCTGCGGAGGCCACGTTCGCAGTTCGCATTGCGGCACGCGTGTCACGTCGTTCGCAAGTTACACGTAAAGAGGTGCAACGCACGCATACGCGTGTCTACGGGCGTTTCCTTTTATTTTTTTCTCTCGCGATGTTTCGAAATCGCTCGATTTCCTTATTGAGCCATCGGGGCGCCGCCGAGGACTGGGCTGGTTCCGCTGGCAAAACGCGTTCGCGCGCGAGAACAGCCGGTGGACGCGGGCTCGATAGGGGAAAAAAAGAGCCCGGTGTGTTAAAATTAACACCTCGACGCGCGCGTCTCTCGCGTGAGCCGCGGACGCGCCGTTGTTGGCCTTCCGCGACGTCACGCACGGCAAAATTGCTCGGGCGTGCATCGCGCCCCGGCATCGCTCGTTAATTTGTGAACAATCAGCTTTCCGGTTGAAGATCTAGTCGTTTCATCGACGATGCGTTCTCCTCCGTTCCGAGTATGAGTTTAAAAAAAATATTATGCGGAACAAGAACAGTGATGGCGATAAATAAATAGATAAAAAAAAAAGATTTCTAGAAAAAGAGAACCGTGCAATGTCTAAGAAAAAAATATTGCTAAAAAATTAAAAAATGATAAATATAAAAATCAAAATCAAAATTTCCTATATACATTTCGATGATTTCGTAATATACACATTTAAATCAAAATTAATACAAGTGATCTCTTCGTTTTGCTCGCTAGCCGCTCCGTGTTTCTTCAGCGTTAACAAGAATAAACGGCCAGTAACTACGAACGTAATTTCGGAGTTGCATGAGGCATGCAATGTGTCACATGAAAAACGGGCACGGTCCGCTGCCACGCCAATGGCATGGCTTAAAGAGCCTGAATCTCGCGTACAAGCATACAGACGCCTAAAGCAACACCACGAAGCGTACGATGAATGCTCTACCGGAAGCTTTCCGGGCAACACATGGAGAAGGAGTTAGAGAGTACAGTCCCAGCGAGTGTGTGCGCGCGTGAGAAGGTGGTCCCGCGTTGCACGTGATCTTTTAAGGCCAGAAGAAATATGACCAAGCTACTGACGTCAGCTTCCTTTTGCCGCGACCGACGGCCGACCACCCAGAATCCTGTCACCACCCGGTGCCCCGGACGCCGAAGGACGTCGCTCGAGAGAGGATCGACGCAGGCGCGACCCGAATAATGATCGCGTTACCGGAATCGCGATTTTTATCCCGGCGAAAAAGAGGAAACGTATAATGCCGTCCCGCAGGTTCCAGCGCCGAGTTCCAATTCCGTGGGAGACCCGAGATCGGTTCATTCAGAGTCGAATGCCTCCCGTGAAATCAGGTGGATTTCACAGCGCCTACTGTTGAGAGAGTCGAGCTGTTCTCATTCTGATAAATTATTTCGTAAATGTGGTCCAATTCGGATTAATGTTCTCGACATGCGCGCAGCTGCAGCTAGTTGTCACAATTATTTGCGGATTATAAAAAAATAGTCGGGGGAAAAAAAATAATTTCTTTTTACATCATACAAGTGCAACGTGTGATATCGCGATATTAGTATACGATGCAAAAACCGCGATAATTATAGTTCAATCGAGCGCGGCAAATGTATTATCTTGCATTCACGTTCGATGCGAACGCGATCCGGTGGCGAAGTGTGATAGCTCTTAATTAAGGTAATTTGTAAGAAATAATCGACATACATCGAAATGGCGCAAAAAAGTGCAGTGAGTGTAAAATCGACACATCGCCTTGTTTCGTAATAGATCGTCGATGTGACGCCATTACAATTATTGCCGATGGATTAGTGGCGCGTTAAAGATAAATTGCGTTTCATTTCAATCGCGAAACACGCCGCCACTCGATCACGCAAACACAATTTCACCTCGCAACTGATTACCTCGGTATATTCCGGGCGGGAGATGAAGTTTAGATCAAGTTTAGATTACGGCACTGCTCCTCAAGAGAGATTCAATTCATTTTCAGCGATTCCACATGACAATTAAAGCATGCACGAGTTATTCGTTTGGGGGGGGGGGGCGGAGTTATTTCCGCGACGTATTATTTTCACACGAATTTCGTTCAATTCTGAATTAGCTGAAAATACATTTCACATTTTTCGATCGTCATCTGGAAGCAGCTGCGTATTTCGAAAAGTACAACCGAAGCTCAAGTTTCACTTCACGTAATTCCTTAATTCGAGTACCCTTCTTCCAAATATACGTAGCCGTGCGTATATTGGGCGGGCGAGGGTTTAAACCGGTTTGTAACGGATCCGCTAATTTCGCGCATGCAAGACGGCGCGCGGACGAACGAATCCGATTTCGCTACCTAGGAAATTAGACGAGGAAGCGCAAGGATACGCGAACCGGTTTCGGATCTCGCGCGGGAAGCGGCACTCTCGTCGACGATCTCGGGAATAACGAAAAACGACACCGCCGACGGGAGGAGAGAAACGGAGGAAGGAATAAAGCAGGCAAGAAATTGCTCGCGCTTCGCGTCGTAATCAATTCAAATCTGGGTTAGCCGACGATCGTTACTCGCGCCGCGGCGCGTCTTTTTGCGCCGCTCCGCGCGCGCGGAATAATGCATTTGTCGGGGACAATGATTGCGATCGCTCATAGCGATACGATATCGTCGGATCCCATGAATCTCTAATTGCGCGCAGCCGGTATTTAATGCTCGCCCACTCCGCAGAAGGCGGCGAGTGCTCGCGAGCGCGGCGACAATTAAGAATCCGCCGGATCGCCGCCGGCGAGTGTAATGGCGTCGTTAAGTGCGCTAATGTGATTACTGGTTGAAAGGCGGCGGACGAGTCTCTGCCCGGCGACAAAAACACACCGAGCGTTTCATGTTCGCGGCACAAAAGTGCGGGTTGCATGGAAAAACGCGAGCCGCGCCTTTTTTATCTCTCTCTCTCTCTGTCATTTCCCGCTTCGTCTTCTCCTCATTCTTTTTTTGCGCTTGCATCTCTCGATGTGGATAATGCGAAATAAGATGTTATCAGCCAGTAGAGATGCTATTATGAATCGCGAATGTAAATGAACGCTCGTGTTTTTTCATATACTTGAACTTGACAATATATCCTGTGAAACTGTCTTACTACTTCTTACTTCTTGAATAAGTCCTTGAAAGAGGAAGAGAAACTAAACTATTAAAAGATTTCTCAAATATTTAAAAAAAAAAACAAATTATGATTGCGTACCAAAGTATGGTGATCTTCATTTAAATATGTTAACACATGTCTTATCTTGTAATTTTATAATTACCTTATCGCGCGCATTTTATAATTGCACCGCAGTACATCGACCATTACATACATTGTCGCGCTCACGAGAGAATACACACACGCGACAATAATTTCGCAATGCTGATACAATAAACTGCACACGTATGACTAAAGTCTCGCAATGGCCGACGGCACATGCGACGCCTGTCCGTATTACGCGATTTTTATATCCGCGTGTACGCGCGCATCTTCCGATTGCTGACTGATTGTTTCCCACACGTCGTAAACTCAGTTTTTTTTTTTTTATAATTAAGCGCACAATTTTTATCAACCGCAATCTTCACGGTGTGAGATTTTCTTCAACCGTGGAGTTTTTATAATCCTGAAGTATTATGTTATTATAGTGCAAAATCTGATTTTAAAAAATCCCATTTAAACTCAAATCGTTCGGAGATAAAATCTTCCATCTAACTCCTCAACACTTTTGTCTAAATAACAAAGTGCTGTTATTAACGTAGAGCTTTACGTAACTTCGCAGTTCTGTACGTATGTTTCTTGGCGAGTTCTACATCCAATTTGCATCGAGTTTCTTTCGTCGCGGAAAAGTGCCATAAATCTGTAGATTCTTTACGGAAACTCGAGAATCTCCGATCTCTTTAGATCACCATCTGCTTAGCACGTCTAGCGGATGCTCGTTAATTCTGGTGCGAACAGGTAAAATTTACGCGCAATTTGTTGGCAGCGTCAGTCGCAGCCGGCGTTCCCGCTGCATGAGTGCGACCGCTATTTTGGACGCTAATTATCGCTCGGCTTGCCAAACGACGCTTTTTTCCCGACGCGCAACGCCTGATGAATCGCGTATTCCTAATTAACGGGACAGTGTGCGATCAACACTTACCCTAGACTAATGTACTGTTGTACACGGATAAAATTGGGTGTAGAATGAGAATCTTATTATTGTGTTATTGTGAACCTCAATAACATTCTCTCCACATCGCGAAAATTACGGTAAAGTTAATTTCGATGCAAATATGAAAAAAATACATGAAAAACGAGAAAATGTATATTCTGCGTATAAAAATAACTTCTATTTTGCATTTTAAATTTTTTAATGCATCTAAAAAGATTTTATATCAATTTTCTAATAAACTACCTGATAATTGGATTCTAATAATGTCTGTGCAATTGTGATTAATTCAGATATTTTTGTTGAAAAAGATTATTTAAGGATTAAAATATCTAAACAAAAGCCTAAGAGTTGCAAAATTCAAAATTTCGAAAATCCTAAGACTTGAAAACTTCAATATTGGAAAGATTGATAGTTCATGATACTTTTAATAACGTTTACCTCATTTTTAAATCATTAACAAAGACAATATTCATACGCTGATTTGAAAAGCATCACTGGAAATAAATGCGATTACAGATTTGAGTATATTTACAAGTTTCAATAATAGTTAGACTAATAGCTAAAATCCTGAAGTTAACAGATGCGAGAGCATAATAGCCCGTTCGCTCGGACGGAGCAGGCCGTCGGATAGAAAAGCGAGCCGTAATGTGGACAAAGTAGTGTACACTCTACGCCAGCAACAAGCTTTAAATAAGCTCGTTAAGTCGTAAACTGAGTTAACCCTAAGATGAACCCGTAACTTAACCTTCTGCAACCCGAAAAGACTTTTATTGCGGCGCTAACAAACGTGAAATGATTTGATTTACTAAATCGGATTTTCCGCGATGACACGTGCAACGGTGCATGTGACATTTCTCGAAATATCAGAAGTACGAATAATTATTAGAATTAAAGTGTTGAGGATAGCATAAATTTTTAAAAAACAATGATACAATTGTAAAAGTAAATCAAGAGGAAAATGGGAATTTAAAACTGAGAAGATTCTAAAATTCGCATATATAATTCGCACAAAGCGACACAACGAACAATCCTTATATTATTTAAACTGCGAAAAGCTATAAAGTAGTCAGAGGGTATTTCTTTATGCAGCTAATATATTAATTCAGTTTTAACAAAAGTGATTTAATATTTTATTATTCGCAATATTTCAATTATATCTCTTCCTAAAAAACCGACTGCTTTTTCTCACATTATCTGCAATATTTTCACATAGAAATGCAAAACTTAGTTTAACAATTTTTAATTCTTCATGTTTATTCGTAACATTATAATATTATTAATTATTTCTATGACTCTGGACGAGAACACTATCTCAATACGTATAAAAATAAATCGGCAACTGCAAAAAAAAAATAGAGATGAAGAAATTTTCTTAAACGCGTTTTCGTTTCCGACTGTACGGAATTAGGGTCTGTCTTCGTGACGGACTACATTACGGTTCCTCACGACGCCATGAAGATACGATTAAATTGTTTTACGACGATGTTGCAAAGTGCGTTCCATCGTTTACGACCACCGCTGCCGGCAGCAATGCGCGAAACAAGTCGCGTTCGCGTTTATCACTAACGCCTGACATTTCCATCAACTTCGTTTCTTTTTGCGTCCGCGTTCCATTTGCGATAGTTTATTTCTGACACTTTCCATTGTCGTGACGTGCCACGAAAATGTCGATGTACAAATGCCACGTTTTAAATGTTTCAAAACGAGTCAAACAAAGGGTTTAAAGTTTACTGATAACTCTGTTTAAAAAAATGCCACTTAATAATCTTAATGAGTGACACGTAATATAAAGATAGAAAGTCCGAAAGGAAAAATGCACAAACGATTGATAAGCACAAATCCGACTTGCTTAAACGATAACACTGAATTAACAGATTAACGGCTCGTGGATGACAAACTCCTATCAAAACTGCGCGAATTGAGTAAAGATAAAAAAAGTAAAAACATCAATCAATGAGTTAATTGAATTATACTATTTCTAATGAACATGCAATCAGATTTGCTGCGAGCTCGTAAGAATATGCTTTGCTCAAACATTTCAAAGCCTAAGAACCAATTCATAAAAATTCTTATATGCTGATTAATGACAAATAATTTCTACTTAAAACGACAGTTCAAACAATCCAATATTTACAAGATTATCGCTAGACTTCCTGTTTTTCAACTTTCTTATCTTATCGTTTGGAATTATGTCAGCATGTCAATAACAAACAATTCACAAGATTAACGTTATCCAAGTAGTGATTATTGATAAGCAATGAAATTAATGCCAAGTGCACAACCAAGTTACTACGAAATAATCATTTCTGAAATTGTTATCTGCCTCTGACTTTTACACCTATCGCAACAATATAGCTCCAATCTTTTCACGCGGCATTGAATGACAAATTTTATGTATCTACGATCAACTTGAAAACAAGTGTTCACATGTAACTAACTTTAAAATCTCACGTGCTTGTTCAAACGTTTACTCGAACGATACACAAAAGTCATGTCAAAATGAAGAATAAGTACAACATTTTTACGATACATTGAACCTTCGCGACCAAAAATGTTATGATCACGCATCTATATGGCTGACTGGGAAGAAAAGGTTTCTAAAAATATCGTCAACAATTATTACGTCGATGAAAATGAAACTTACGGTGATCCAAGGCAGAATCGGTGACGAATTCCTTGCCGGTCGGGCATTCTAGGCTGGTATTAGCGATGGCAGCAGCGTTGCCGATGCCCTGCAGGTGGTAATGCCCCAAGGACGGACCCCTGGGCGCCATGATGGCCGCGATGCTGAAGTCCGTCGATTTTCCCCTCTCCCCCTTCGTAGGCATCCCTCCTCGCGCCTCGACGACACTCTTACTCGTACGCGTTTAGTCTCTTCTTACTCCCGGTCGATCTGTTCCCTCTCTTGCGTTTCGCCTCGCGATTTATCTCACCGTCGACGTTCTTCCTCTTCGAGGAAAGTCGCGAAAACCACCACCCTCACTCGCGACAAGGCATATTAGGCGTCCGCCGGCGTCCCCTTGTTTCTCTCCTTTCGTCCTCGCCCTGTCACCAGGCGTTCCTTCGCGTCGACATGACGGTTTTGCGGCAACGAGAGAGAGGCGTCTGTACCTCCCACCGGTGCTCTCTCTCTCTCTCTCTCTCCTCGAGGCAACTACAAACGCGATCTCTCCCGCGTTATCACTATCCACCCTTGATCGTCGCTGACTGCGATTACGTCGGCTACGTCGGTTGTGATCGCCGTGTGTTGTCACCCGTAGTTGATTACTGTTGTGTTACTGCGAGGAAACGCGCGGCACACAACGCGTCTGCGCTGCTCGACTTCCCGGACTCCACTGGCTCGTCGCTTCTCCTCCCACGCACACCGACTGCCCCACCACGATGCCACGCAGCCACAGCGGTGTGCGGTACTACGTTTGGTAACAGGCAATAAGCGAGATCCTTGCGCGCGCAACATCGATCGCCAGTGGGCAGACACCGTCGTCCAACGGCATCATCCCGACCGATCAGACTGCTCTCTCCCCCCCCGCCATCGTGTCGACGAGCCAACCCGGGTCACGATGTAAGAGAGGAGAGCGAGCTTCCCAATGCCATACGGTGAAGGCGGCCCGTGCGAAAGACGCTTCTTCGCTTGCCACACCCCGGAAACCCGATTGCCACCACCAGCTACCGCCGTTCTCCCTACCAGCGCGGCTGCCACGACGACGACGTGGGTATCTCGGAGTGGCGTGGCAGCGACACGGTGGCCGCGCAACGACGAAAGAGAGATCGATCGACCTCTCGCGCCGGATGGCCGGCGTTCGTACATATCTACGTACCTCCGTCGCGCGCAATGGCGTAGGACGGAGCTGCGGAGAACAAACGCCGCATGATTCGTTTGTCTGTTGATTAACGCAAGCGCTTAAGCACACCCTTAACTTATAGATACTCCCTAATTAAACAACTTATCTTATGTAAAGAAAAGATTAGTAGTAGATTGTTTAAAATTGATGGCTGTAGAGAATCGTTGTCTAACGAGCGCTTCAATCGAACATGAAAACTGTTACGCGCGAGATCAAAATGTTTGCTGAGAAAAAAAAAAACCTTCGGTAATCGCGGTAGTATTATTGACACAAGCAACGTTGTATGCTCTATTACATTCTCTTTACTGACACGTATATTTTCTCGGAGCAGGCAGCAATAGAGCGAGGAGAATTTATTTAAGCCGCGCCTCGAAAGTAAGTACACGGCTAAAAGCTTTCGCGAGGCGTCTGAGAGAAACGACGAGGGTTGTTTGCACCGGGAATAATCATAAAAACCTGTTGGAGGGTGTAACCGTCGACAGTGTACAATCCGTTTATGCCGGTTGCACATTGTAATTTGCACAAAAAAGATCATATCTTTGACAAGAGTTACCCGAACTAGCGTGACACGCGTATCTGTTCCGTAGCTTTGTAACATTCGACATTAACTCATGTGTTCTCCAAGATTACGCCACCTTTCCATCATTTGCGACATGATTGATAGCACCCTCCCTCATCGCCATTTCCATCTTTTAGAGATCACGAGACCAGCTTGTCTCTTTATTTCCACAAATCTGCTGTGTGTTATTTAATCGCAATTAACTCTTTAACCCTAAATAACTTTTAATAGTAATTAACTTTACTCTCCACATATAAAATAGCTTCTTCCTACGCGGAGAAAATTTTATATTAATTTGTAATGCATCTCAAATCACTATTTTTTTACTATCTGTGGACTATAATGATATTCTAAGATATATTGTAATATAACATGGTAAAATTTCAAACACTATAAAAATTACACTGCTTTGTTTTTAAAAAAATGACAATAGTATTTATACTTATAATTCCTCCATGATTCGCGGCTACTTTCGACATAGATTTTGATATAAAATTTTCTCCGTGTATTTATAATTTCGACAATCGATATATCATTTACAGAATTATTCTTAAGAAATTATTCAATAAGAAATAACAATTTTCTCATCTCTTTGAATAATTTGTGCAGCTTAAAATGCTAATTATTTTTTACGTCTATTAAAGCAGCATTTATTAATAATTCTATTCGTTATTGGCAATTCTTGCTGACCAACAATGTTACTAACCACACTGTCGACATTTCGCTATACATTTCATCAGTGTTCCAGAAGCTAATATCTCCTCGACGGTGCTTCCCAGCAGAATTTTCACTCGAGACACGTATCGCGGATATTCGCCGAGAGCGGTAAAACGCGATCGAGTTCCGTGAGCATTATCGTCAGGAGCGAAACGAGAGACGGGGTGGCTGCGGAGGGATAGAAAGGTATGGATAGACGTTACAGCGAGCGCGGTAATAAAACCGCCGAAGGAAGCGATCGAAGACGTAATAGGAACCGTTGGAGGCAGCGTCCGAAACGTATCCCGATCGATCAAAGCGCCCAGAAAATGGGCCCCGACGAGACAATTTCGATGGGCCGCCTGGACCGCCGGCGTGTACGTGCGCGGACGTGTCGGCGAGAGGGCCAGCGAATAGCGCGAGGAAGAAGCGGGAGAAGAGGGGAGATGGATTTACGGCGTGTGTTTAGGCACTTAGGCGCTTTACCTAGCCCCCTTTATTATACTAATTTCTCGGGCATGTCAAAATACCTATCGTATGTATGTACCCGGCCTCCCGAATTCTATTCGACACGCTGGGTGCCCCCGTAGTCGAGCGCATAAAAGGCCCCCTAAAGCATAAAATATTAAGCCCTCTCCCCACCCCCCCCCCTTCAGCCCCTGCCATCACCGGATCGTCTTCAGGTAGCTGGAGAGAAGCTAGCTCGCGCGCAAGTCGCTAAGTCGTCTCCCGTGAACCGCAGGAACGAGCCTGAACCCCGTAACGATCTCCCTCCCTCCCCCCCCCTCTCACACCCCTTCGTCTCGAAACACTTCCCGATGTTTTTAAGGCGGCTGCCGGGACGTGTCACCGTTGCTTTTCACAGTCGTCACCCGTGGTGAAGCTTACCATTTAACGGACTACGACTGTATCCACTTAACTGCGTGCGCGCGGTCGCTCTCGGAAGTCATGTGGATCTAAAGCGCGTTGTTAAATGGGTATTATGACCGCGTGACCGCAGTGTGGATTCGGGATGATCTTGTGAAGGGATCGTCGCATCAACGAGTTTTGTCACGCGTGAAACCTGTAGAGAAAAAATGTGTGATTCTACTTGAAAATTAAAATACTATCTTCGCGTGCTACTGTAATAGAAATTGCATGATTGTTAATTCAATGTGCCGAAATATAGTTTTTAAATAAATATAAGAAATTCACACGCACATTTGAATTATTTATAATTAAAATTTGCGGCGGATGTTCTCTCCTTTTCTCCGTACTAATGATATCAACTTTAACTATGAAGCGCGTATAACGATCTCGCGTTTCATAACGGGAAGGTAATAGATCAATCCGGTATCGGCGAGTGCAATCTCGATCAAATTAGTAAAATTTCCTTTCCGCTGACAACAATTTCCCCCGGAGCGAGTCGCGCTACGCCGGTTTGTTGCTCGCGGCAACCGGCTGGGACGGCGGCAACAGCAGCAGCTCGGATGCAAATTGCATCTCGACGGTTCGCGGGTGGGAAAAATAAACGAGAAATAAAACGGGCGAGTTGGCGGAAGGAGAGAAAGCGAGCGAAACCCGCCGGAGCGAGGCCACTCGATGACGGGGGAACGGGCGACGCGGGAGGGGAAGGAATATCAAGGTGGAAACGGAGCGGGAGGGAGAGGAAAGGGCGGACGGACGCGCGTTAGTCGAAGGTGGATGCGGAGAGCCGGTAGGATCACGACAGGGTGCGCTAGGGAGGGGGGTACGCAAGGGTCATTCATCATCGGAGGAGAAGAGAGGCCTGCGCGAACACATCGTCGTACCGTACCGCACCGACCGATGGTGGTGGAAGACCCCGACGGAGGTGGAAGGCCACCCACGCGGAACGATCGGGTTCGGTGGCGATTCTGAGGCCGAGTACACCGACACCGACGAGACTGTGATCCTATCGCGGATCTCTATACGTACGACTGGCGCCCTGGCCAGGTGATCAGCGTGTTACGCGACGCGCGTTAGCCCTCTTGATGAAATATTTCACTCCCGCGTTATCTAGAAGCCGCACGTGAAATGCACTTTCGAATGGCAGTTGAAATTCTACGTTGTGTATTGAAAATACAATGGCAGGATTGTACGTATAGAAAATTTCGAATTCCAAATTGTTTTGGATTTTTAAATGAAAATTAATTTGAACAAAATAATCCGCTGTCGGAATTAAGATTGTTACGACACGGTATGCAAACGGAGGAATGAAGAGACGCTATTTCACCAATCGCTCTTCAATCGGTCCCACCTACATCAGAGCCTTTTCCTCAAGAAGACCACTCGCCGAGAAACCAGTCGAGCAGAGTTACAAACTCCGAGCTCTTGTGGCACGAGCTTCTCGGCTGTTCTCAAGTGGCTCCTGGAGAGGGTAAACACACGGTTTCTCTCCACAGCCACCCCCGCCCGGCCTCGGGCGGTCCTAATAATAACGACGAAATTACCGTTCGTGGCGGCGATAACGAGGAGACGATGTCGGGGAAAGACACCGAGTATCCTGTCGGTAGGGACGGAAAGAGCAAAAGAGAGATACAGCGGGAGGGTGCGAGCGGGGAGGGTAGAAAAGGGACAGCATCAAGGCGACTCGTGGAAAGACATGGGCTTCCGACGACTCGAGGACCGCTAAGATCGAGGACTCAATTCTGCTCAAGAGTGTCGCGGCGCCAGCCCTTTTCAGAGAGAGCCTCTGGAAAATAAAACATAACGCCGTGTAAAACGAGAACTCGTACACATATTTCTTGTGAAACGCGTCTCCCGTGAGAAAAGTATAATTTTGAAAAAAAATTCAAAGACATTTCGTTCGACTTCGAAAAAAAAGATGATTATGATAGCAATTTGGGAAGAACTTTTTGCGAAATTATCGGACCGGAAGATAAGAAAAATTTCATACTAATTAAATGCAAACAAAATTACACTTTGAATAAATAATGATAAATAATAATTCTATTCAAATCAGTCGCGAAATCGGATAGCTTTCGGTATCGAGAATCGCGCCCATTTAAATGGATTAAATTTGAAAAAAGTATCAAACTCGAATACTCTTTCGTCAACAGTTTCAAGTTTTTTCTCAAGCATCTTGTATATCGAGGAAATGTTCTCTTAGAGCAAAAGAATCGACAACCACGCGCATAAGACATATCCTCCTCGACCGCTCTTTCTTCGTACGGCGTGGGCGGAAAAATGGTGGAGCGTTCAAGAGAAGCGAACAAGAGGAGAGGCAACGGAGAAAGTACAAAGAAGGAGAAAGTAAATCGAGGGGCGGGAGGATAAAAAATAAAAAAAAAAGAAGAGGAGGATAAAGCAGAAGAGGCGTAAGAACACGTGTAAGGGGCAGAAACCGGGCTGTGTATCCCATGAATAACCCATGGCGGGGTGCAGCACGTTCGCTTTCGTGTA